GGTTCCTTTTATGCTTGTACACCAGGAGCCAGAAGGAGACATTTCAGCGCAGATGAAAAGTCACTGACGTTTACAATATGTATCACTCTCCACAGGAATAAAACTAGAATTCCTGCCTCCTGGTTGTGTCCCTTACCTTCATGAGGACATATGGACAGACGGACAGCCAGAAAACATAATGCCACTGGCCACAGGTGTCACCAAACAGAAACAAAAAAATTTTTGGCTTTGGGGTTATAAAATTGGCTCTGTGCACACAACATTTAAAGCTGTTACTGTGTCACCACTTAATTCAAGTTACCAGTAAAATTTCAGCTAAATGGTTAATTTATCAAAATAAAGCCAATTTGAACATTGGTTTTGACTCAACAACAGCAAAACCAGCTGGACAATCTCCATGGTCCTGCAGTGAAAACAGTGTTACAATATGTTGGCAGGATCTTTGGGAATTTTCCATCGACACTGATGTTTCCACGGCATTTTAAGCCCCTAGTGGCTCAAACAAACAATTACTGGTTCTTGTGAGGGAAGGCTTGTGCGGCACTTGAATCAACCACCTGGTCTTTTCAGGCAGCATCATTCCTGCAGCCTGTTTATCGAAACACATCATTAAAATTGATGCATACGATGTAATGAACTTGGAATGCAGATACATTTGTCTAAGAGCACACTGTGATTTAAATGTCTGGCATGACACATAGGTACACAGGTCCACTGATCTCTGCGCAACCAAACTGAGCAAACACTTGCTGCCATTCAAACTCATTATGACAGCCATAGACACTTCAAAATGCAGAAGGTTCAACAACACCCACTCCCACAGAGACTGACACACAGCCCATAATCTTCACGACAGCTAACACATCTATAATTACACAGCATGGATCCACAGCAGCTTTTAAAAAAGTCTGAGACAACTACTTCAGCTGTCAGCGCTGCTCACCAGTGTGTGAATGTTGATCTGCTCCACTTAAAAAAAAAAAAAATCAATTCTCTTTATGACTCCATTATAATAAATGTACTCAACTACACTGCTATAACTACACACACAACTGTATTAGAAAACATTTGTGCATTTACACACAGTGCAGGGGATTTTAATGCTGATTGAGCAGCCAAACTTGGACCTAGACATGCAGCTTATACCTATAAATATGCAAGTGTATCAGTTATTTCATCTGTCAGAGTATGAATGCTAATCTCACTGCTTCTTGTTTTAATCACTCAGATCTCATCTCTTAGCAGATCTGGACCAAAAAAATCATTTTAATGCTGATTGAAAAGCTCAGCTTCAGTCTCTCAGGACTACAGCAGCACAGACAGCATCAGAGAATAGAATTCTTAAACCAAATGCCATTGCTTTGCACTGGGTAGCAACAAATATATAGAATGATATAAGAGCAAAATGAAACTGGATGTTTTTTGGAAACCAGGTTTATTGAATGTACTGAGCACAATAATAATGTTACTGTTTGCATCCATTTTCTCTTCCAGATAAGTTTGTCCAGCCTGGAGGTTTGTGTCCAAACCTTCTGATCATCTGGCCACTCCTCAGACTTCTTCGATGATGTGACAATATTGCTGTTTTGCAGCAGCTCAGTCTTGCCATTTCAGTTCATCTGTGATATCTGATGAGCTTGGGTCTGAATTTCCAGCCTAATCTGAGGCTGTAGCGGTTGTCGTCTACAGTAGCTGCACGTTTTGGAGCGTCCAAATGCACAACACGTTCCTAGAGGCAGGCGACCTCTTGTCAAGCAAACATGACAGGCGATGACAGTGACTGCTGGGGCTGATGAATAGTTTACTACCTACTGGCTATCAAACATCAATCATCCATCTGTAGTTACACTATCAGATAACCTCAGTTCATTCAAACAAGCCAGATTTTTTTATGCATCCTAATATTTCACTCTAGATGTTTGTGCTTTCATTATTTAGGTCACGTCTCCATCTGATGTCTCTGATGGATGTCAACTTAACTCTACATTTGACTGAAAAGCTTCTGGTTTTGATTTGATTTAAGACACTTTCTGAAGTCTTTTCTATATCATTCACAACATTTATCATTTGTCATGTCATTTACTCATTCAAGGATTCGAATGTTAGAACTCTACAGGTGACACCAAAGACGTTAAGACTGTGTTTTATAGTGTCATATGGCCCATTGGGAAAATGTCAATAAAACAGACAAAGAAAAAGTCCCCATTTCATTTACTCTGTCATATTTGTGTCTACAATGTACAAATTAAACATGTTAAATGATAAGTTCACAGTTCTTCAGAGCTGTATTAAAACAAAACTTGTTTGTGCACTGAAATAGTTTTGCTCTGTGTAAATCTTTCCTCCTTTTATTTATTTGCTATTTAAAAATCACAACATATTTACATTGTATGTGAGGGGGCACTGAGGCTGTATCAGTCTGACTTGGACAAACGAAGCATGGGTACAGTGAAAAGAAGAAAAATATATGTTAAAACTACGTACGTGGCGGCACACTGGAGCAGTGATGAGTGCTGTCGTCTCAAGGGAAGAAGGTTCTGGGTTCAAGCCAAGGCCAACCTTTTTCTGTGTGGAGTCTGCATGTTCGCCTGTGCCTGTGTAGGTTCTCTCCGAGTACTCCGGCTTCCTCCAAGAGTCCAAAAACATGCAGTTTAGGTTGACTGGCGACTCTAAATTGATCCCAAGGAGTGAATGTGAGTGCGTGGCTGTTTGTCTCTAAGTGTCAGCCCTGTGATAAACTGGCGACCTGTCCAAGGTGGGCCTCGCCTCTCGGAATTGGCTCCAGGTCATTTTGAACTAATCTTTCCCATGACTTGAGAACATCAGGTCGTCTCGGGGAGTGATTCGTTCATTTTGTGTTGACCACGCATGCGCCACAAAGCATTAGATTAGTACACCTTTTGAGTCCTCGGTTTTGAGTCGTTCGTTTTTGTAAGGTGACCAGACTGCTTTGTTGGATACAGAAATTAATTTTCAACCGTACTTACAGTTTTACTCTTACTGTTACATGATGCATTTATTTTTTATTATAAAATAGCTTGTTATTTCCTACAGACTATACTTTTGTGAATATCTATCAATATGGTTCTAATTTGGACCTTGAGTCTATAATAAAGTGTCATTCATTCATTTTTCCATAATACTGAATGTTTTAATAAAGAGTTGGTTAATGCTTTAAACTTCATCAGGGAGAATCTTTCTGTATACTATACAGAAGACGGCACGGCATAGCTTAGCTTAGCTTAGCTTAGCTTAGGATGTTAGTGACAAAAGACCAAACGAATTTGACCCAAAATATCCGGAGGTGAGGTGATGAAGTAACAGACTGCATAGCCTCAAGACACAGGTACGATATTACTTATAATATGACCTTGGCTGCATTACAGTTGTTTCTTATTCGAAACGTGATCAATATGTGCGTAAGTAGATGGGGAATTAACATGTAACATTTTAATTACGTTCTGCTGAAGTGAATGAAATGACTCGAAAAAAGATTCGTTCATTTTGCTGAACGAGATTCAAAGAACCGAATCAGTAAAATGATCCGAACTTCCCATCACCACCCAGTACCCCCGAAAATGGTTGTGTAAGTAAATTTAGCCAAAGTCACCCAGGACGAAGTGCTTCCAGTCTGTCGGCAAGTGCTACCTTCAAAATAAGAGCAAAAGACTTGACAGGTAGAAAAGGAAAACAATAGGCGATTATTTTCATAGCAGGGATCTGCAAAGAGGTTTCACAGTGGGCCGGTTTTTTTCCCAGCTATTTTCATTGCGGGATATATGTTATGGTTAGGTGTGTGTGTGCGCCTTTGTATTACTTACATCATGAGGACCGAAATCTGTGAACACGCTTTCACACTGTGGCAACTCCACCCTCCTTGTGGGGACCAGAAGCTAGTCCCCACAAGTAAACCACTGAATTTTAGGGTGGCAACATGGTTTAGGGTTAGGATGAGGTTATGGTTAGGTATTAGGAAAGAATCACGATGACCCTCCCTACTTTGTCCAACGACTAGGTGGTTTGGAGTAGAGGGCCAAAGGCATGCCACTTAAGCTCTTGTCACTGAGGGCTAGGTGGTTTGGAGTAGAGGGCCAAAGGTATGTCACTTAAGCTCTTGTCACTGAGGGAGGTGTTAGGAAAGTAGTGGTTATAGTTAAGGTTAGGATAAGTCTCCAGGAAATGAATGTAAGTCAATGTAAAGTCCCCACAAGGATTGAAACAGTGTGTGTGTGTGTGTGCGTGCGTGTGCGTGCAGGGAGGGCAGTGAATTTTCAAGCTTTTTACCAATTTTTGTCCAAGTTGGGCGCTTTCAGTTTTATACATTAAATTTTGCTGGTAATACTTATGTACTTTACTTAAGATGTTGAATGAGCTTTACTTGTTGCAGTATTTTTAAATTGTGGTATTACTACATAGGCCTAAATACATACAGTTTACACAGTTTTACATAACACATAGGCTACTTGTACCTAAATAACTCATCTGAATATTTATTCCACCACTGGCGCAAATGTTATAGTTTTCCAAATACAGTTGTTATTTTGGAGGTTCAGACCGGAAGCGTTTTCTGTGTGGCCGATCCAGGTAGCTTCACTCAGGTCAGAGAACGGAAGAGAACATGGCGGCGCTACGAGTCGTGGTGCTAGCGAGGAGTGGGAGAGCACTTCTCAGCACCCCGAAAACTATCAACATCTCCAAGGTCGGTCGATAGAGGAGTAGAATAATTGGCATCTAGGACAAAGTGTGTTTATGACCACTGTTTAATAGAAAGTGATGCAATTAGGTGTCCCTGCACAAGCAAGCTAAACTTAGCCTGGTTGCTCTCGGCGGGTGCGAGACAAGGTCACCCGTGTTCCCACTCATTTTTAGTTTGGCACCAATGAACGTGGCTTTAGCTCTGCTGATATTTTGCCCGGCCTAAAGTGTAGAGCTCGACATGGCGTCAGTAAACATAGTATAAACGTTATATGCATTTAAGACTTGGTAGCCATCGTTTGTATATAGCAAGTTAGCTGGTTAGCTAATTCACGATGCTATGTCAGCCACCCGGTATATGGACAGGTTAGAAAAATCCAACTTCTTCTGTAGTTGATGGAATAATTATGCGAATGTGATTGGAATTATTTCAGTCCTGACGTGGGTCATGTGGCATTCGTATTACCTAAGCAACAGCAATGGCTAATGTAGCTGAGCTAACCAGCTTGCTAACGAGTTAGCATTTCAAGGACTGAAAGGGCTTCCGGTGAAGAAAATCTGTCCGCAGCCGCGAGTTGCTATACCCTTCATTCATCTATGGCTGGGCAAACCCGGACTAGGGTTTGGAGTATCCTTGCTGTCCTGGTATGTGTTTACAGACTCCAGCGATGGATAAGGTATTTGTTAAAGTAACAGTGCCATTATATAAAAATACTCTATTACAAGGAAAAGAGCTACATTCAAAATTCTGTTTAAGTGCCTATGTATGACCTGCTAAATATAATGCCCCTCTCAGTGTTGAGTTAGTTTCCGAGGTCTTGAAAGATGCTTTTTGAAAAATGCTATACACTGAAGATGGTATTTTCTGTGCACAAAGTATTCTTATTCTATTCTATTGTAATTTTATTCTACTTTAGTTCCTAAATGTTAGTTCCTAATACTAGGTGAGAGAAACGTATTTAGGCTTTCTGTATGTCCTGCACATATGGTGAATTGACAATAAAATTCTTGAACCTTGTCTTGTAAAACAAGTTTAAAAGTAGTACTTTTTCAGGCCACTCCTGTTAGTTTTATTACAAGACAAGTTACAACTTTTTTTAGTACATGATGACTTCATGTAAATCCAAGAACAACTTTGAACACCTAGCCTGAGCAGGTCTAATGAGCCACATAAATGAAAACACCTGTGTGGGAATGAATGCAAGGTTTTTAACTACAGTTGGTTGCACGCCTAGAATAATAGTATTTTTGTGAACAGCAGATGCGGGTTCCTGGCTGTGAGAAACTATTTGATTTATTTAGCATTTTTCCTTTATTAGATGGAGGCACAGTGAGGGATGATGAGGGAGAGAGAAAAGGGAATGATGTGCCGCCTGGCCAGAATAAAACCAGAGGGATGGTGATTAGTGTATGATATTTATCTCAACCACTGGGCTCTGATGCATGCTGATGCAATTTATTTTATTTTAATCAGATGGTAGATATCACTGCTCAGGTCACACAGTGAACTTGAATTAGTTTGTAAATGGAAGTGGCATGGATGTAAACTAGAAATGGAGGTTGGTGTGTATTTGTGCATGTATTAATGCAGGGATGATGTAATGTGATACCTGCCTGGTTACAGAAGTACTGGTGAAGGACATTTTCATAGGAATGATCAGCTTGCCTGCTGTAAGTATGGGTGTCATGATGAACTGAATCTTGCACACAGTAGCCAGACAGTACAGCTGTGTCCTGAACCTTTAGTCTGACAGGTGAACGTGGAACCTCAGTTGTCATTGCGGTCAGCACTAGAGAGCCATGCTTTGTGGTCCTGAACATTATTGAGTTCTTTATTAGGGATGGGGTGATATGACTTTTTCTCAATATGATTCAATGCACGGCCTTGTATGACTAGCTGCAGATTACCTGTACTCTATTTCTCTTTTTTCCCCATTTCTAGAACTGGTTTGATTATGTAAAGCACAACCAGCTATATTGACTTGCATTCTGTTAGGCTATCTTATTTACAAAACATATGAAGTTGCTAGTGTATGGAGACCACATGATGTATATCGCTAAACAAAGCTACACATTTTGTGAATTTTTTATATTGCTATATATTGAATTTCAGTGTATTGTCCCATCCTTGTTCTTTATACTTACTAGAGCTGAATTGAATAATCGATGAACAAAAAAAAGACTAATTGAAGTGAACAGCTGACAAAGTTCTTTGTCGGGTACAGCTCTAATAATATATTGAACTTTGAAGTCATTTTGAAGCAAAATGCCAAACAGCACCTGGTTGCAGCCTCTCAAATGTTATAGCTTGCAGCCCTTCTTTGTCTTGTGTGGTAGTAACTGCCTTTAGGTTTCCCTGGCTGTGATGTGACATTTGACTGCAAAATTTGGGATTTTCAATATTTTTTGTATTATATTGCTCAAACAGTTAATTTGGAAAAAAAAAAAATCAGCAGATGAATCAATGAAGAAAATCTTTATTAGCTGCAGCCCTACTCCCTAAGATTGCTTAAAAACATGATTAATTTTGTCAGTCAAGTAATAGATTAACCAACGTTATTATACTGGGTGGTTTTAAGTGATTAGTTGGTATCTTGTGCTCTTCATTTTAAAGGCCAACATATCCTTCGCCAGCTTGCCACGGAGCAGGAAGGTCGCCCTGACCGCACTAGGTGTGGTCGTAGCTGGCGGGGCAGGGCTTGCTCTGACGCTACACCAGGCTGTCAAAGCCTCGGAGCTGGAACTCCACCCGCCTCACTACCCCTGGAGCCATGATGGACTTCTTTCCTCTCTGGACCACGCTAGGTGGGATGGATGAGCACACACAAATACACACAGGAGTCATTTATCAAAAGCAGTGGCCGTGAGGAAATGCACTGAAAGTTCTAACAAACACTGATGCTGCCGGCAGAGACGGGAGCTTCTAGGTCAGTGATTCCCAACCTGGATTATCTGGAAAGGTTTTGGATGAACTGAGGAAAAATTAAAAGAATCCACATATTTGTTTTAATGAGGAAATAAACAGAAAAAGCATCACAGTTTGCTTAGAGACTGCTTTTAAGTGCATCCACTGTCACATTAACCATTAAACTACAAGCTACCGAGAGGCTCCCTGCCCAGTACACACCCCCACCAACCAGAGTCAGAACTGTGATGGAGGGGACATGAAGACTAGTTATGTAAAGTGACAACCAAGCAGACAGCTTCAGTAGCTAAAACAGGGTACCTGCAGGGAATGAAGGTGTTAAAAACCCTGGCTTTCATTTGCAAAGGTCTCGAATGTTTCTCTTGCCTGTTGTAGATAGTGACATTAGATATATGAATGATACTGAAGTCGACCAACCGGCAGGGGGCTGAATCCTTTTTGTGGACTTACAGTCAGTACTAGCAGACCTGACGCACAGAAATGTCAGTTTTACCAAAAATGTCTTCAGTTATTTCATTGTTTGTTTGTTTTTTTATTTTTTGTTTAGTGGCTGCTTCTCAAGTGGGTCCAGGTCACATTAATTGATTAATTATGTTACTTGGAATTCTTGTTACACACAGCAGGGAAGTACTGATAAAAACAATGTCTGTGCTTTGTAAATAATTGTTCAACTGGTTATCCACAAGTAGTTCTTTTTTTTTTTACTGGTATGACAGCAGAACAGATTTTAGATTGCTTGTGATAGGACTGTTGTGTTTGCAGGCATTTTCTTTTTCACTTTGTAGAATGATCACATTTTTTACCTCGGCTGTTTTCCCATGTTCCTCCTCCCTCTGCAGTGCTCGTCGTGGCTACCAGGTGTATAGGCAAGTGTGTGCGGCTTGCCACAGCATGGAATTCCTGGCCTTCAGAAATCTGGTGGGAGTGATCTACACAGAAGACGAGGCTAAGGCCGTTGCCGAAGAGGTGTGTCTGTGTCTGTGGAGCAGACTGTTCTCTTAACACTGTCCTATTATTTTAGTGTTACACTGTTATTTTACAGTCAGGTACATTGCCATTAGTTATTCACACTGGCAGGGTTACTGGCCATCCTGAAGATAAGACTCTGCCTGTTATGGGATTTAGGTGAAATCTATTTTATACTTTATTGCTCATTGTATGATGTTTGAAGGGCTATTCTGGTCTTTCTGGTGAATGGCTAGGAAACCTGAGCTGTACCTTAGGAACAGAGTTTATTTAGTAATGTAAGAATGTCTTGTTCATGTTTCGTTTGATAACTTTCACACAGGAAGCAGTATTTGTGGTGTCTGTCTTGAAAGCTCATGTGAGCTGGACACCTGTGTGTGTGTATGACACAAATGCAATTGAACTGAACTGTGGTTATTTACTACTGCTGCCAGTAGGCGGTGACACCTGGCTGTGTCTGCCGTTATGATTCTTGGCTTTAAAGGCATCTTGTGTGCTTGTGTTCAGTTTGACATAGTGGATGGTCCTAATGAGAGCGGAGAGATGTTCACTCGGCCAGGGAAGCTGTCAGACTACTTCCCAAAACCTTACCCCAACCCTGAGGCAGCCCGGTTTGCCAACAATGGATCCCTGCCTCCAGACCTCAGCTACATTACCAGTGCCAAGTAACACAACAGAAACAGAAAACCTGTGTACTTTAAACTGGCATGAAATCGCCTAAAGTCTGTGTGTCCTTGGTGTTCATTTGTGTGTTGTCGTCCCCCCAGACATGGAGGAGAGGACTATGTGTTCAGCCTGCTGACAGGTTACTGTGACCCTCCAGCAGGAGAGCCTGCGAAAGAAGGACTCTACTACAACCCCTACTTCCCAGGCCAGGCTATCGGAATGGCCCCTCCCATCTACAACGAAGTGCTGGAGTATGAAGATGGTGAGTCAGGATGCAGTGTGTGTAATTTGCTGCTGGGCTGTTTGACTGATTAGTCCTGCTAATAAACGGTGAGCTGTGCAGAAAGTGAGAGAATGTTCTAAATGGAAATGGTGCACGGAGCTCGACCGGTGGTTCTCCTCAGTGATTTTAAAAGAAAAACCGGAGGCTGCCTTTTGTTTGAATGAAATTATCTAGGCAGAAGGAGTCGAGACGGCTGAGGCCACGTTTGTATTCACTCGCACTAAAATGGAGCTTTGTGCGCAAAATACGGCCTGTGGTGCCTTTTACAGATTGATTTTAGTGACTGTGTTTTTGGTTTATTTATTTTTCCTGCGTTGTTGTGAACAAGATAACTTTTTTGTTTTATTGCATATGTATTTACACGACAAAGAATGACAGATTTTGATTCTATCTGAGCCTAAGGCAGGACAATATGGACAAGGTTTGTCTTTCCCCAAACTTGGCTTAGATTGTTGATTTTAATTGATTTCTTTTCTACAAAATGCAAACGCTGACAGAGTACATATAATGTAGATGCTAACCTCAACCTTTGAGACTGTTACAACTCGACTCAGCTGATCATCTGTCACTTTTTGACTTAATATAAACTTTCTGCCCATTTGAACAATAGATTGTCGTGAGGGCCTATATACATTTTGTACAATAACATATATTTAATTTAAGTCAATTTATCACCCGGTCTTATGTGAATAGATATGAAGCCAAATGGCTCATGAAGCATTTAATGGGTTAACCAAGACTGACAGAACAGTGCGTCAGAATAAAGAACAGACTGACTGTTCTGCTTTTATCACTGTGAAAAGTAGCTCTCCTTTTCATAACTAGTGTGACACTTGTGTATGACAAACAAGACCTTGTTTGTGATGGCACACTGAGGTGAGACTACTGATCATTTTGTGGTGGCACTTTTGCTTGTCAAGGCCTGGACCTGGATGAGTAATGTCTGTCAGCGATGCAGTAAATTGGCCAGAAACATTCCCCTCTGCTTATTTTATATATAGCTGTTCAAGTGAATGTGTGTGTTGTAGAAAATGTGTCTCTCACACACACATACACACCCCGTGTCCAGGTGTTTGTTAATTTTTTATGTCTGCTGCCATAGGAACCCCTGCCACCATGAGCCAGGTTGCTAAGGATGTGTGTACCTTCCTGAAGTGGGCCGCTGAGCCAGAACATGACATACGGAAACGCATGGGACTGAAGGTACAGCACACATCTGTCGTGGACTGTGTCCTGTCTGGGTGGTGGTTGAAAATTTGCAGTATTAGCTCTAATATGATGGTTAGTCTTGGCACAGGTACTACACATGAAACATGTTTTTGTACAAACCATTTTAATTTAACAAAAGAAGCTAAAGTTTTCTAGAGAGCCACCAATAAAAGCCACTTGACAAATGATGTCCAAGGAAAAACAATTGTTCAAAAAACCAGCACAAAGATAAAAATGTTCCAAAGAACATGAAGAAAAGCCTGATGAATGTTGGCAGCCCACACTTTGGTCAGATGAAATCAAAGTAAGATGGGATCCAGGATGTTGGATGTGGATGTGGCTATGTCGACCACAGCGACTGCATTTACATGCTCTTAAATAATCAGCTTACAGTCGGCAGTGTCCAGTAAGTCGGTTTCTTAACTGTCATGTAAACAAGAAGTCTACGAAGGCTAACAGCCAGGCCTGGATTAATCCTGGTTCCTTATTGGTTCTGTCAGCTGTCACTCTGATCAGAGACCAATGAATTCTTTTACAGTTAATCTGTAAAACGTTATTGTTTACTGACTGTGTTCATGAAGACTGCTGTTGATACTGCTGTTAGGAATTTGAGGTGATTAGAGACGAAGGATAAAGCTGCAAAAGTATCTTCAGTGGAGTCTGTATATTACTTCTTTACAGTGACCTGCACCTTGTTTAGATATAAATATATATAGCCTATAGGGGTCATTCCATAAAACGGCTGAAGTGCTGTCACTTGGCTTATTTTTGCAGACACCAACACCCTTGAAGTTGACATGATAACCACATTACTTACACTGGCTGTGTTGAATACATAAAGACTGTATATGCATTGATAAAACAAAGTTTTATCATCTTGTGATGATGAACAGGCCTGTGTGTTAAGCTCTGCTTGTTGTGGATTTATCATGTTTAGAAGTTGCTGACAAGAAGTTTTAGGTCTGGAAGTGAGAACATGCTACATATCAGCCAGATTCCACCGTTTGGAGAATGAGCCATACTTTCCCATTTAGGTTGTGGATTAGTGGTTGTAATTAACCTTGATGGTATGTTTCAGGAGTAATAGTTTCAATTAAGAACAGTGGTTAGGAAATGTATATTTTAGGAAACTTAACGCACTTGGTCAGTCCGCTGCCGCCTGATGGGTGTGCTCGAAAACCTGGCCACACGGTGCCGTTCATGCCGGTTGGGGCTGGTGTTCGTTCATTTTAACAACACTACACAACACGCAGCGTCCTGCGATGGCCACATGGAACACAGCTTCTATGTCAGTATCAGTGAATCTGTGATCGACCTCGTGGTTTGTTGAAGAAAGCTGTGAACGCACATTCATCCGAATTAGACCTGGCTTGACCAAGCTGCACCTCCTCAGCCTGGCTTTGCCTTTGTGAAACACATTAAGCCAGGATGAACTTAGTAGACTAGGTCAAGCCTCACTCTGTCTTGTTATCTTGGATTTCTTAATTCTACTTTAGTACAATACCCCCAGGGACAGTGGAGATGTAGACAGGAATTCTGGGAGAAAGAGGGGTGTGATTCTCAACTAGTGAGCCACTGGATGCACCTATAAATCCCCTTTTGTATTTGTTGTGTCCTGGGCTGATGAAGATACTTTAGGAATATGTTCTGAGTGCACAGACCCGGTGTCATAAATTGAAACATTAGAAACTTGGAGCTTGATGTGGGATTAATCTTTCTGTTCTCATTCTCCTTCCAGGTGCTGCTGGGTGGAATCGTCGTCATTCCTCTGGCCTACTACATGAAGAGACACAAGTGGTCTGTGCTGAAGAGTAGGAAGATGGCCTACAGGCCTCCCAAATAAACAGAAACACACCCCAACCTGGTCCTAAAAACAACCAGAGGGGCTGCATTCAAGGACCCCACAGTGCTCACCTCATAGTGATCATACAGGCACAGAACAACTCACACAAACATGCCTTTCTGTGAGGTGGTAGGGAAATAAACGTATAAACTGTTTATTTCTGCAGAAATGGCCTTTTGTTGTTGTTTTTTTTTTGTTGGCATGATAGATTTTCCTGTATCTGGAATGTTGTGATGCAAGTCTGTGCCAGAGTTGTGACGTTCTTGAACGCAGCCTCCACAAAGTTTGGTTGATCTGCACCGAGTCTCCACTGGCAGCAGTCCACCTTGTACCAGACACTTTGTCACGAGTGGCCGACGGGTCGATTGTCCATCTTTGTAATATACTTGATATCCACACAAACACGGAGAAATTGGTGCCCTCAAAGTTAGTATCATCCTGGGTGTGGAAATGCATTCTCTTTGGGCGGTCCATACGCCCCCTCAGTCAGTCAGATGCCGCCTCTGAACGTCTCTCTGTACAAAATAAATTATCTTAAACAAAACGTCTCGCTTTGGCAGTTTTTCATGTCTAGTACCAGGAGCAGATGTGGCTCATCCAGCTTTCCAACACTGCTTGTGTCATTCTCATTCTGACTCACCAAATCTGCATCTGCACTTTATGTAAATACTTAAACTGCCAAACTGAACAATTAATCTGATTAGTCTTTTCAAAACTATATGGAAAAAAATTAGTATGTTGTAAAATCACAATTATGTTTTGGTTTGTACATTCATGACATCTCCACAAACATCTTGACAACCCATGGCATTAACCATAATTTCAACGAATTTATTTTAGAGATGATGCATAATTAATAAACATTATTGTAAATATGCCAGTGTAGGCCACATGGCTCGTTTTCAACTGTACATTACAATTGCAAACTACATTTAAGCTCTTAGATTTCCTTGAATCTTCCTCTTAAACCTCCTGGGCCTGGTTGTGCCAGCTCTTATAACTCACTGTAGGTTTATTACTGGGGGGAAAAAGCAAGTTGCATCACCCTAGCTAGTTTTTACATAACGATTGTAACTGAATAACATCTAGTGATCACGAATGACAGTGCCTCTGTTGTCTGCACAACTATTTTGTGATTTATTATTTTTTCTTTCTAGCACCTGGCGAGTGAGACGACAAACTTTAATCTAAGAAGGCCTGTTGGAGAAATAGATCTGTGAGTTTAAAGACTTACCATGTGCCAATACACTGCAGTTTGTGCTGCTGTGACACTGGGTTTTACAGCTCTGGAACATTCTCTCAGTGATGAGCGTTTCTTCCTGCTGTGATGATCGTCATTTAAACAGAATGTGTCGCTAGTTACAAAGTAATCTGCCAGGAATTTGGTTTAGTTTTGTTGGATGAGTGAAAGGATACTAAGATAAAGTTGAAGAAAGACCAGGACTCTAAAGTTCCCATTTCAGGCAGTTTACTTAATGAGATCAAGAACAACACAGACAAAATGAAACTCTGCTCTGCAGGTGCTTCTTCTAGTGGCTCACAGTAGTCCCTGAAGTTGTCCTGAACTTCATACCTAATTTGGCAACCTCAGACGCCATACAGGAACCTAGACTAAGCTTCAGACTTCATGTAGGCCTCATGTCAGCCTCTAGATCACGTTTTGTTGGGTACAGACTCAGGTGACAGACATACTGTCATGCAATTGTAAAAGCCCTACTATTAGATTAACCATTGTAAATAAACCTAAATGAAATTACAAAAGAATCAACCAACAATGAGGTTTGAGTTGCACTGCAGCCAAACTTGACCCAAGCTCAGCTTCTTGGTCATTGACCATAGTCTCTCAGTCTGTGCACACACTATGCCAGCACACAGGAAGCAGTGAGGGCTTTTAGGAAGTGATCATGTTCGTCTGTGAGAGAGCTTCACTGGTATTAACGTTAGTGGGCTTATGTTTTTAGTGTTTAAGTATGGAAACAGCCTCTCAGTGAATGTGTGTGTGATGGTGCGTATGTGTGTGTTTGTGCCAAGATCAGAGAAGGACAGTTTTCCTCTGTTCCAGTCCAGACTCACTCTGATCCTCTGGAGCTGCTGCTTCACACAAAGAACTGTAGAGGGGTCTGATAAGGAGCGTGCTGTGTATGTACCATTCATCAGCCCTATCCTCCATAAACAAGATGGATGTTTTCCCTTTTTCTGGACGGATTCTGCTGCCACGCCAACAAACCAGTCTGTGTTGTCTCCAACCTCAACATCCCAGCTGTGAGTCCCTGAGTCAAAGCCCTGGGAGCAGAGGACAATGCGAAAGAAGTCAAACCTCTCAAGGTTTTTAGGAAGAATCTGTTTCTTGTCACATCTCACGCTGATCAGATCTTCAGACAGGATGAGTTCTGGATGAGCAGTGTTTGGATCCAGAACCACAGGAGTGTAGGAGACCACCACCTCCATCTTGTTCCAGATGTTGAAGGCCAGGTTGCCCAGGTGTTTGGCCACATCTATCAGAGCTCCTGAGACCAGCTGTGGATCCTCCAGCAGGGGGCGCTGCTGGGTTCTTTTCACTGCAGCCTTGTAGTTCTGCAGGAATGAGACGTCTTCAGCTCTCAGCTCCTCCTCTGTGGCTCTGATTGTGGCTGAAAGAGCTGATATCTCTCTGCTCACAGCCTCAGTCTTCTCCTTCATCATCCGACTCCTCTGCTCCTCTTCTTCCCTCAGAGCTTTGATCCTGGCCTCCTCTTCCTCTTGTAGAAACTGGTGAAGCTTCTCAAACTGCTCCTTAATCAGCCTCTCTGTGTCTTGGGCCTGGACCTTAATGTGTTCTGTTGTTTGATCACAGTTTCCTTTAACTTGATCAAAGAGCTTCAGTTTCTCCTGTAAGGGCTTCAGGGATTTCTGGAGCTCCTCTCTGTGATCCTGTGTAACTTCGTTAATAGGTCTAAATGTATGTCCAGTACGTTTGTCTGAATGCTGACAGATGAGACACACTGGCTGCTGATGGTCCAGACAGAAGAGTTTAAGGTTCTCAGAGTGCAGACTGCAGAGACCCTCAGGCCGTGCTGAAACTCTCCTCTCTACCTTTTGGGCCTCACACAGCCTCTTTAATGCCAAGTTGCAAGGTGGGTCACTCTTTGATGATCTTATTTTACAAACTGGACACTCCTGTATTGGTTTCTCTTTCCACCAGCTCTTCAGGCATTTTTTTTGCAGACGCCGTGGCTGCATGTTAGAACAACAGGAGCTCTAAAGGTGTCCTGGCAGATCGGACAGACGAGATCCTCTGACGGGGAAGACATTTTCTCTCTGAGTGCAGAAAACCAGGCAATTTACACTAAACATGCAGTAATTTCATACACAAAGGGAATTCAAAGTTCTTTACAGTGGCAAGAAGAAACAGTAGCAGCATTAAAACCAGAATAAAATCAGTGAAGATAAAACTCTTAAAATGAGATAAAATGAAAATAAGAACAACCAAAAAAAATATAAGGTTTGAAAATGAAATCTAGTGTTTGTAGTGCTGGAAGAGAAACCAGTCAAACATACTGGTTCTTTCCAGGATATCTTGCTGGTTTGCCTTCTACATTTCAAAGCAACCAGCTGTGGTTTTAGGGGAAGTTGCATCTTTGTACTGTTTCTGGGCAACAGTGTGAACAGGTGCAGTGACTGTGTACGGCCTCCTGAAATCGTGTTGTCACATTAACGTTAACGGTTTTGATTCCATTGTTCCTGTACACATTTACAGAAACTTGGTAAGAAAATGGTAAGAAAGAAACACTGGCACATAAATTTAGGTTTTGCCTGCATTCAAAACAACAGTGGAGTCAATTAATTAATGATAATTTGCATTGTATTGGTGGGATTCACTGGGTATGATAGGAATTCTTGTTCTTGGTGTTGTTTAACCTGCCTGTTATTTATCCTGACTTGTATATTCACAAATCAAACTTGTCAAGCAAAAAGCCAACTGTTAGGTTATTTTTTTACAGGAAAAGAGCTTTTAGGGTCAACTGTAATGCTAGTCTTAATATTTGTCTTAATGTGTAAGGTTATGTCCAATTGTTTAGATACACACCACGGAAACAACAGTCACGCACCTTGACTTTTCCTCATGTTTTGGCTAAACGATAGAGCAGCTGCAAAGCTTGCTTATCGGGTGGCGTCACGGTTTGACGCCCCTTGTAGCATGGGCTAGCCCAAAAATGATTAATATTATATAGGTTGTTGGGTCCAGACTTTCTCAGCTTTCTGCTGCCTGCGCGCAGGTAGAGGGGTGAGAGAGCTCTGGACGTGTCCTGTGAATTTTACCTGTGATCCTCTGAATAAACCAGCACGGTTATTTTTATAAAATCTAAAGCAGTCTCTTTCGTCTCATTGAGAGTTCCTGGTTTGAAAGAACCGGAAGAAGCTACACAGAAATAATAGCTTATACCAACCCTTTTCTGTGAAGACTGTCAATGTCAAACCATGGCTGAAAAAAAGCTGCTGAAACACAACAACTGTAACTGCTCCAGGGTTTTAATTTCATTATGCTTCTGTCATTTATTTTATCGTATTGTTCCCTCTGACATATGTATATGCATGAGTTGTATACACAATATGATTTTTACTTGCTATAGTTTTTCAGTAAAGTTCATTAAAAAAAACTGCAGATGCTGCAAAGTACTTTCCCACAATGTTAAACGGTTCCTTCCTCCCTGCCTGTAGTCACCACATCCTGACATACCTTTCATTGAGGGATAAATAAACAAGTGTGCTGTTGGTTTAAAGCTGCTAAGGCCTTCATTAGGAGCTAATCTGCTTCTGAAAAGACTTTTCCTCCCTGCTGCTTCAACCTGCATTCAGCCACTACGAGCTTCATCTGCATCACAACACACACAGATTAGGCAAATAGCATTAGTGGATCTCTCTGGATCGTTATTATTGCCACGATTAGCATCATTATCATTATTATTAGTTTAAACTCAGCCTCAGACTTATTTTAGGGTGAAAACTAAACTGATTTTCTACTTTGGTAGCTCTGAAGAAAAGGAGGTGATTCTGCTTTGTGTTTGTTTCAGAGTGACAGTTTTTTAAAAAGCCTCCTCGTCCTAATCTCACACATGCACTCGCGTGATGTTTCGCCTGAGGGGAAACTCAGGTACAGATACATTTACACACACTCAGTCACACATTAGGTACATCTGTACACACATGCATTGAGGTGAGCTGCTCTTTTTGTTTCTCACAATATTTGCAAATACTCTTTTTTTCAGAGTTCGGTCGTTTGATTTTGAAACTAAATCTCTCAGTAACACAGACACTCGCTCAACAGAGATGGTGTATGGAACCTCAGGGGATCTCATTCACATGGAAAACCACTTCCTAATTCTAATTGGTGGCCAGTGTAAATCCTCCACTCCCATTTAAACAAGGAGTCAGCAGTTTGTCTTCCCACTGCCTCACATGCACCTCAGACTGAACCATGCATACACCTTTATTTTAGACCACTGGTCCAAAGTAAAGGCCCCACAGTATCAGTGCTTTTTTTTAAATTATTATTTATATTGAAAGCAAATCTACTTCTGGAACTTTTTTGCCAGTGAAATCAGAGTAACTTTGTCTCGGTTGTTGTCAGCAGTCTTCTTATCACGCTGGGGGCGTTGTGCTCACAGATCAGTCATCATGGTGTCCACTCTGCCTCCTGAGACAGCAGAACGCAGGCTGCCATTTTCCATCGACTGGATTCTGGGTTTGGAGCTGGAAAGACCTGGAAACTGCCTGAAACTCCACCGACCATGGGCAGGTGAGGAGCAGATGTTTCCACTTTGAATCCTTTTCTGTACAAGTCATGAATCTGCTTTGTATTGGTGACACACTAACAGGCTGTTTAATATGTAGTGGTGGAAGAAGTAGTCAAATAATTTACTCAAGTTAAAATGGCAATAACACACTGTAAAAATATTGCATTACAAGTACATTTACTCATGTCTGTAATGAAAGGTATGTGTCATAATGTGCCACAAAATTAAGTACAGAACTGACCATGAACTGATTATGAGACAGCGGGCTGCCGGGCGCAGACATGTAAAGACCTACCCCTCCTTCACTTCTGGAAACCCATTTCATAAGTCATCTATGGAACTGCATCCATGCTGTACCACGTATCATTTATAAAGTTAAAGCTCTAGTCAGTTTTTCCATCTCATTTAAATGAATGTGTCACAGCTGGCAGCACGGTATCCTGTGCAGCACTGCTGCTTTGGTAACATTTGTACAGAAATTCACTTCTCTAAAATGAGGCTCATACTAAGTCTTTTCAAAGAAATGTCTTTGAGAAGAGCAGGGTATTTTTTAAATAAATCTTTCTATAAATGGAAATATTTAATTTTTGACTCAATTGTATAATAATATGACTTCTGAATGCAGCATGATTATTCCTATTTCCTCAATATCCATAAATAGCTGCTATACTTATATTCACTCTAAATTACATTTAGATTTTCCAATATTTTCCATTCAAAAATTTCATTTAATGTTTTAGTTTTGGACAAACATTAGCCAATAGTGGTCCTCCTGTAAATTAACCCATAGCTTTTGAAAATTCCGTTTTTGCAGTTTTTGGAAACAAATATTTATTACAACATCTGGAATAAATATTTGGCTTATGGGGCATGGTTCCATTACATCTGGAACAAAAGATGAAAAGGAACTAAACAAACTGTCACTCATTTAGTTTCTCTATTGATTAAGAAGTGTGTGTCCCATTCAGTTAAATTACACCAATTGTAAACTAAGCAAAATTAAACTAAATATGCACAAACATAATGTTTGAAGCATATATGTTACTGCATATTCACAGAAATGTGTTATGTTTTCATAATTCTATTATGGATTTAAATAATAAACTTATAACTATGCCAAGGATAATGTTAACCCATTAAACTATATCTGAAAACTGTTGGGTCTCAAATATAAAATTGATTTCATAGAGCTGGAAAAGCTCCCCCAAACTGATTATTTGTCATATTTAGATTTAGAAAGGTGTATAATTTATCATCTGCTCTTTTTTTGTGTGTGTGAATCCAGAGATCAGGGCACAAAAGGAGAACAGAGAGAACAGTCTCTCTTCTAAACAACAACGCTGTGGTGAACAACAACAACAGCAGCAACATCCACAGCTGGACAAACCGACATCAAACTGGTATATTGGGCGCAGACCTCGCACCGCCTTCACCAACAGTCAGGTAATCAGCTAATCGGTCAGTGAATTAGTTATTGAGACAGATAGAAGGGGCGTCTTTCATTCAAACATATGACAAGGATGAGGACACTGAAAGCAGAGGTTTTCTTTAGGCTGTTAATCTCTCTCTCTCTGTGTGTGTGTGTGTGTGTGTGTGTGTGTGTGTGTGTGGTCTACAGGTGAACATGCTGGAGACAGTGTTTCAGGTGAACTGTTATCCAGGTATCCAGCTGAGAGAGCAGCTGGCAGGAAGGCTCGACCTGGACGAGGACAGAATACAGGTTCAAACAGCATACACTGTGAATTTCACTGTGAAACTTTATTTTAAAAGTCACTAAAAAGTTATTACAGCCTCTGTTTCAATCCAGCCTTCAACATTTAATGGAAATCTCTTTCAAGAATTTTAAGATGAGTTTTAAGAAGTGTATGTAAAATGATGCCCAAGACGTGCAGAATATTTCAAGAAATAAACACACACACACAAACCAGGGCACAAGTTTGCTGCATCATGCTTGTAGTTCCTGTAGCCATGGGCGGATTATGAGACACTGGGACCCTGGGCACAGACATGTAAAAGGCCCCCCACCCTCCTTATATAGGAGCAAGACCGACAGATCCCAAAGATGTTTTAGTTCTTTTGTGACTATATTTTTTTGTTTTGACTTGTACGGTGGAACAGTGGTGAGCTTTGTCACCTCACAGCAAGATGGTTTCAGGTTCAAGCCCCTGCTGACCCGGGGCCTTTCTGTGTGGAGTCTGCATGTTCTCCTATATAAGGAGGGTGGGGGACCTTTTACATGTCTGTGCCCAGGGTCCCAGTGTCTCCCTGTGCCTGCATGGGTTCTCTCTAGGTACTCCATCTTCCTCCCACAGTCCAAAGACTAAATTGCCCATAGAAGTGAGTGTGTGGTTGTTTGTCTACATGTCAGCCCTGTGATAGACTGGTGACCTGTCCAGGGTGGACTCTGTCTCTCACCTAATGTCAGATGGGATTGGCTCCAGACCCCCTCGTTAGGATAAGCAGATGAATGGTTTTTACTGGCGTGTTGCATCTCTTTGTAGTCTATGTGTTTTGCAGCTCTTTTTGGTCAATTTTAATTTCTTTTTAGTTACTTTGCCAGTTGCTTTGCATCTCTTCGCAGTTATTTTTGTTAGTTTTACTTGCTTTTGTTTATTAGGACGTTTTGCGTGTCCTTGTGCTGATTTTGTGGCTCTTTGTGGTTGTTTTCTAGCTTATTTTGTATCTATTTTTGCTGCTTTGTCTTTCCAACAAGAAATGTTGATTCACTTCATACAAAGCCTCAGGTCCAGGGGCCTCTGATCCCTTGAGCCCCTGGGCCTGAGCCTGGTAGGTCTGTTCAGTAATCTATCCAACAAGCAGCTCTTCTCCTGCCATATTTGCCACATAAATTTTCCACTCTTTCTCTGTGTCAGATCTGGTTTCAGAACCGAAGGGCTAAACTGAGACGTTCCCTCAGAGAATCCCGCCTGCGAGTGGTCCAGACGGCCGTGGCTGACCTCCGGGTCAGACATGAGATAATAGATCAACTGCAGGCTGAGCGAGCTGTGCAAGGTGACCTGGAGCTCGCCCAGCAGTTCACCTCACATCTCCAGCATGAGGTTGAGGAGTGATGCTGATGACTTGAGGACTTTGGATCTTGTGAAGGATTTGCTGATTTATGTGTTCTGTAAATTTACAGTTTCTTTCAACTTCTACCTTTCATGTCCCATGACATTAAATTGTAGTTTGCTCACAAACTCTCATAAAACTGTGATTATTGCCACATCCCAGTGGATTGTTTTAGATTGTTTCATGTCTTTGATTGTGAGGATTTTATATTTACATGAGATAACCCCAAAACAGACAGTTCATAATACTGGGGAAGTGTGTGAGTCTGTTTTCCTGAGGATTCATCAGTATGGACATTATTATGGTGACGTCTGTTCTGGATTGTGTTTTTTGTATCAAAGGGTCTTAATATGTTAATAGTTTTTTTGTACAAAATCTAATAAAACCAATTAAAGGATTAGAATTTTGTCTGCCCCCTGCATTAACTCACTCCAGTAGGCTACACATGTTTGGCATTGATTGAAGGCTGATATATAGCCTATAGATTTTTAGCCTAGCCTCACTGGTATAAATGAGATGGACACCTAGAAACCTGTCAGTACAGTACAATTTAATAGCTTTCACATACAGTTCAATTAACGCCTCTCCAAAACAGTTTCACCAAAAACCTCTCGCTTTCATGAAGTTAGGATTTACTGCAGGACTTTTACTGTCATATGATAAACTGCACACAGGTGACCAGAAGATTCTGTTAGAGTCATGTAAACAGTGAAGTTCCATGGAAACAACCTGAATAAGTATCATAACCATGATACACGAGCGCATGTGGATTTTTATTTGTTGTTTTCACAAAACTATTCAGACTCTGCACAGTCTCAGACGTGTGTGTGCGTTTGCCAATTTCGTCAACTGGAAAAAAAAAACAAAAAAAAAAACGTGTCTGGCTTTGATTGGTGCTGACGTGACCCCTTGCGTGTCCCGGAAGTGAAAGCGGGGTAATGCATACCTGGAGTACTGGAATCGCTCGGTAATAATCGCGTTTAGCGGCGGTTTTCTGCTTTAGAAAATGGACACGTTGAATAAACTGAAACAGTTTGACGCGTATCCCAAAACTCTGGAGGATTTCCGAGTGAAGACGTGGGGAGGAGCGACCGGTGAGTGGATTGAATTTACCAGCAGCAGCCATTCAAACACACTGCTGTGTGCTGCTGCTAACAACATGGCTAACTGCTTATGTGTCCCTTATTCATGAAATATATTAAAGACGAGTTACAGTCTTTAACATAATGTTTATAACGCCGGTTAAACACGAATGACAGCGAAACAGACTTCGGAAACATTTATAGTTCCACTATAGAGTAACATTATGAAGCTAATGATACAAAAAAAATAAATATATGAAAAATATATAGCTAGGTAGCGGATAAAGTTTTGTGATATCGTTTAGTCTTTTTAGCATTTTAACGGCGTTTTATCTGGAAACAACCATACCAGTTATTTTGCAAGAAACTTGACATTTCTTCTGAGTGTTAAGGTGAGCATAATAGGTAACCGAAAAGGTGAACTACTTTAATGAAATAACTAAAACGCATACGAAATTAGATCAGTGACATTAGACAAGCTGTATACAGGATATACATTTCATTTCCTTCGACTATGTGAAGTGAATCGTGCTGTAATCCTAACGGCCACGTTGTTAGGTACACCTGTACAGTTGTATACAAATTAGTGCAACACTTCCGCCTTAACGTCTGCGTTTATGAAGATCCAGATTTTGGTGAAATTGTCATAAATGTATAAATTCAATTATATGTTTATTATTGAGGACATAGTTAAAGGCGGTGTTCCTAATAAAGTGGCTTGCTAGTGTATATCTAGTAGTATAACTCTGGCAGCCATGATATGTAAATTTTAAGCTATTTATAAAGGTATAGGTATAAATAATAAGTACATGTTCTAGATTAAACAAATAATCAATTCATTTAAAAAAAACAATCTGTATTTTAACCAGTAATGAAAGTAATCACAGTTTGCATTTCTTATTCAACTTGAATGATAATAGAATGATGGGCTTTAACTGGGAGGGAGAATAAGAGTTTTGAACTCCTTAAAAGAAACTGAAGATGAGGATCTGAGGGATTTTGTCCTTTAAATCCTGGTTCAGATTCTGGGTGCAAGAATTGAAAGCACTCTTGTGATTTCTGGCCCCCTCTGTCTGTGTCTGCAGTGACCATCATCAGCGGGGTCATCATGTTAATCCTGTTTGTCTCTGAGCTGCAGTACTATCTCACTAAAGAGGTGAGTTCTCCCATATTATCTGTTACCCTACAGTTTGTCACCATGCTTCAGTCAGCTCTATTCTTCACAGTCGCGTAAAGCAGAAACTGACCTCCCAAGGCAAGTGTCTGCTGGAGAATACAAACGTCTCTGCCATGCCTACACATAGTCAGGTTCCTCATCTGCTGCACATGCGCAAGCCAAAAAATGTAGACAGAGAAAGGAGTGGAGTGGTTGGGTGAAAGGAGAGGTTATTATATGGAACAATGCCTGCTTGACTAAAATATACACTAGCACCAAATGGCTTCTAGAAGAGGAACTTAAATGCATCAATTAGTTGATTGCAAAGAAAAGGTTTTGCAGCTGTTTTATGAATCTGTTAAATGGCCAAATATCTGTTGGTTCCAGTTTCCCAAATACACTGCTACTTGTATTAATACATGACAGGGAATAGAAGCATATTTTGTTTTTGACTGTTGTTTGTTTCCCTAACTCTGTCCTTATTCTGTCCACTGGGTACCAGTTAAGGGTTTGCTTTTTTTTTGCAGGTGATGAAAGGCTCAGATTAGAACATTATCCAGACTTAGTGAAGACTACCTAGTATTCAGATTAGCAACTTTTGGCCATCAGTAGTGTTTCCTGTCAGACCAGCCTGATAACTTCACACAGTATGCACCTCTGTTTGCTCAAGGCACACTGTAGTCTTCATTTTGTTCCTCATAAGTGTTAATGGCAAAACTGGTCTGAACATGACATGTATTTTACTTCATGCAACAAAATGTAGTGGGGCTACAAATACAGTATAGTATACAGGCTCCAAGCTGAACAGCAGAAATCTTACTTTACAGATTGTAGAAAGTACAGTGGACTTTATTTTCAGTTGTTTTGGTGGAAAAAACATGTGACTAAAGGGAAGATGCATTATTCCTTCATATCCTACAAATCTTCAGTTAAATGTTCCCTGAACAAGTGTCAGACTTGTTGATTGAATGACTGAAGTGAAATCTGTTCATGCTGTTTGTTTGCTGCAGGTCCAGCCTGAGCTGTATGTCGACACGTCACGAGGAGACAAACTGAAAATCAACATCGACATCATTTTCCCTCACATGCCCTGCGCCTGTAAGTAGCACTACTCTTAATGCTGGTAAAGTTCACATGTTAATGATGACACATGATAATTATAAACACAAACCCCTCCGTTTTTTTTTTTCTTCCTCAGATCTCAGTATAGATGCGATGGACGTGGCTGGGGAGCAGCAGTTAGATGTTGAGCACAACCTGTTCAAGCAGCGGCTGGATAAAGACCTCAAATCTGTCACCAATGAAGCAGAGAAACATGGTAAAGTTTGACTTTACTCAGTCAAAATTTGATCTATATGGCACATTAAACACAAATAACAGTGACCAAAGTGCTTCACAGTAAGTCAGTAAAGTAAAAGACCAATGAGAGAAAAAGAGGGTTAAAAACAATACACCAGTATTAATAAACAATAAGACGTCAGAGCTCTACTTGGTATAAAATGCCAAAGTGAATAATAAGTAAGTCTTTAGCTTTGTTTTAAAAAGTGCTTGGTCCAAAATGGATCAGATCTCTAGTGATAACATTCCACAGTTTGGGAGCGGCCACAACAAAATCTCTGTCACAGCATCGTTTGCACATAGTTCTCTGGACGTCCAAAAGAAACTGGCTGGAGGACCTGAGCTCTCTCTAGTGTTTACTGGCAGCCAGAAGATCAGCTTAATGACTGGTTTACACCAACATGCAGAGTGTGATAAGAGTCCAGCTGATAAAAGTATGAACCCGAGATCCTCGTGTTAGTGTTAAACTCCTGACAGTGTTCAGTAGCTCTTTGCAGGCGTTCAGGCCAAACATGGTGCTGCACTGGTGACGTTGGGCTGTGAGAAGAGAAAATATGATCCTGGAATGCCAGTGTGAATGATATATCCCTGGGTTAATTCTGTCAACAGCAGCTTCAACTGTCATGTGGGTGCGGTATTTGATTTGCCAACACCGTATCAGCCAACCCATTTTTTCATGTGTTTTGTCAAGAGCCTTTGCAGTGCAACCTACCCTGTGCCAATGAAGATTTAGCTTGAATGTTTGAATTAAATCATGTTTGGGTTTTTGTGTAGAACTTGGTAAGGCTGACGATGGTGAAGTGTTTGACCCCAGTACACTGGACCCGGACAGATGTGAGAGCTGCTACGGAGCTGAGACTGAAGAGCTCAAGTAGGACCACAGCACACACTCTGCTGCCTTTGTACGTTCTTTGTAACCTTGTATTTACGTGCTGTGTCTCTGCCTGGTGCGTGCGTCCGCAGATGCTGTAACACTTGTGATGACGTGCGGGAAGCGTACCGCCGGCGAGGCTGGGCGTTCAAGAACGCAGACACCATCGAGCAGTGTAAGAGGGAGGGCTTCACACAGAAAATGCAGGAGCAGAAGAATGAAGGCTGCCAAGTTTATGGCTTCCTCGAGGTCAACAAGGTATTCCAGATATTTTTAGTGATTTGCTGCTGGTGCCCTCTTTATTGTGGCTTTGCCTGTTTACAATGAACCAAAAAAAAGCCTGCATATCACCACCCCTGTGTTCTTTTTACACAGATAGTGGCACCCCAGTATTAGAGAAGTGACATATGACCGTGCATATAATACATGTATCAAAAATGCAAAATAAACTGGTGACGTTGTTGCTTTCAAAACAACTATAGTTGATGAACAGAGTAGGGATGTACTTTTACTCATCCTGTACATTTACAACATGATTCGAGTTCAAATAAAGTTGTTGTGCACAGTGTACAGCATGTTAGTGACCAGAGTTATACGTTGGCCATAAGAATGTGACACCTGAGTCCATACCAGCTGTTTGCAAGTAAAATGGGAAACGCTAAACAACACACAGTGCTTCATTTGGATCCTTTTCATTTATACTCGCATCCTCTCTTTGGTTTAGGTGGCAGGAAATTTCCACTTTGCTCCTGGAAAAAGCTTCCAGCAGTCTCATGTCCACGGTAAGGCCTGCTGTCCACCGACTCTGTGCATATACACACAAACATTACCATTCAAGGGTTTTGAACACCCGCTGGCAGTTTCCTGTGGCGGATGACGGCGGATCACTTTGCAATATGAGCAGCAACAGATAGGTTGTCTCGTTACTGGATAGAGGACTGCTGCAAACACTAGTATGTGAGGTCACCTTATTTATATAGTGTGATTACTGAGAGTGGCAGCTGCGGTAAGCAGAAGGTTTGCAGCAAAGATGGCATTGTTAAATATAGGTTATTGAAAAAGAGACAGTTAAGTCCTTCTTGGCTTATTTTGTCCCAGTATCAGAACTTTATAGGAGAAAACACAGGTGTTCACCACACAGTGCATCCACTCGGTATCTGTGCAGCCCAGATGTGTAGTTACATTTTAGATCACACATCTGCCTGTAGGTGCTACTTGTAACACGCTCCAAAGCTACACTGTCAGAACTGTTTAGTGCTTTTGTGATTAAAAATATGTTCTTAGTCCAATTTTACGTTTCTCCCAACTAATATATTTGAAGTAAATTTACAGTGAGTGTGTAGCTTTACTCCAAAATGCCGTAATGAAGTGTTCAGAAGCTTTTGATGGGATGAGTGTGTGTCTGTCTGTTTATTCTTCCATCCATCAACTCTACACAGACCCATACATCCACAACCACCTCATCCATTAACACACCATTTATTCATTACAACTCAGGGCTGTACAGAGTAATCTCGGGGGTTTGTTGTATTTTCAGCAACAAGTAATAAGTGTGATGTCAGTTTCAACAGTGGCATTTTGTCAGAATTGAAACAGTTTTACTTTGAGCCATTGTATACAATGCTACAGATGTTATTGTAGTTAAAACTTTGCAGTCAGCTGTGAGACAGGAATGTCAGGCACCAGTGCATACAGTGGTCACGTTGTTACACGTTCTCACCCTCTGTCCACAAGTCAGCTGTCTTATTATTAACTGACCAGGAAATCCAGTACGAACTTAAGGATGTGTGATGTGCGACAAAACACCCGCACCCGTTATTTTCAATGAAAGCCCATACATCGGTGGCAAACTGACGCACGCCATCGTGGGTTGACAGGTGTAAATGCTTCAGCATACGCTCCAGGCTGATTTTCCTGGTGTCAATCTGCATCAAAAGCATAAAATACTGAAGTGCTCACCCATTTCAATAGTCCCGCACTAAATTTGCACCACTTCCGGTGTGTGTAACGGGAGTCATATGACACGCATCACATGATGAGCCACGCCTGCGTACAGGGTTGACAGGTGTAAATGCTTCAGCATACGCTCCAGGCTGATTTTCCTGGTGTCAATCTGCATCAAAAGCATAAAATACTGAAGTGCTCACCCATTTCAATAGTCCCGCACTAAATTTGCACCACTTCCGGTGTGTGTAACGGGAGTCATATGACACGCATCACATGATGAGCCACGCCTGCGTACAGCCCCCTCATAGAAATAAAAAAAAAAAAGCAAAGCTGATGTCTGACTTGATCAAATCCTGTGGTCAGACCTCAAGTCCTTGGTCTTTATGGTCCAAGACTGATTCAGCACTAAAACCTGAAAATGAAGTTTAAAATTCCTGGAAGTGCTGCATTTGTTTTACAGGTGTGAAACATGCAAAATGGATTCGGTTATGACAGAATAATCTTAGCTCAAGGTCCACCTACTTATGTATTTACATATTTTAATGTTTCACGCTTCATCAGTGAATGGAGTGTAATATGGTTAAAAAAATAAATGACACAAACAGAAAACACAGATGCATGTTTCTGTGGCCTCGGTCACCTGGAAGATGAATGGATGTCACATGACAACATGTCAGTTCTCATACAAAGCAGTAGGACTGATGCCAGTGTTCTCTACCATATTCTGCACTCCTCCTAAACCGCAGCCATTGGTGTTTATGTGCAGAATTGTTTTTCAGTCAAGAGTGAAAAAGCCTCAGGAACTTCATTCAGGCCATGATGGCTCCCTAGGACTCCACAATGAAGGCAATGAAATTGCAGAAGCTGGCAAGTACAGTTAGTTCCTTAACTCTGCCTGCTTTGACTGGCAGATGTTTTCAGTTTTTAATGTAGGGGACATTATTCATTGATACTGTATTAGTTGAACACTGAAATCTTCACTTTTTTCTTTCCCTTGTCATACAGTATGTCCACATTTTTATTTTTCATTTACTTCCTCCTTCCACCGCAGTTACCGACGTTCACTCTGCCATCGTCGTGTGTCAGTGTCTGTCTTGACTTTTCCTGCTGCAACTAAACATTAAAACAAAGCAGGAAATAAACAGCAACTGGCCATGGAATAAATGTACTGGACCAGCCAGTTTATTGTCAAACATGTCACAGATTAGCGGCTGCTTCTAAACTGAAGCAAAGAGTACGTGACTAATAAAATGAAGAACGTAGCCAGTGAGCTATGTTACCCTTCTGGTAGCCAAGTATCAACTGAAAATCCTGTGCTGTAGTAAAACAATTTGGTTGGCTGAAGTTTGGGCTGCACTTCCTGCTGTTGCTGTTAGTTTCCTACCTTGAACACAGCAGCATCCTCTGATGCTGTGTGATATGAGATTGAATGTATCTGAATTCATTTAATTTGATGTGGTATCTGAAAGCTTAGGAGCAGAAGCAAGATAAGAATCACATATACTGAGGATTTGAGTTTAGATGCAGTTGTAGCTGACATGAATTGGACTTTAATAAGTCCCAAAACTTTAGTCTGACCATAAAGCATTAAACACTGATTTGTGTGTTTGGGGCTGGATGATTGCTCTGACAGAAGTTATGCAGACTCTTAATTTTTAAATGGTGTTTTTCAGTTGGCACAGGTCAGCCCTGCCAAGCCGAGGCATTCGTGGTGGAGCTGTGCTGGGCTGAGTTTCCTCTGCACCATTAAATGCATTGTTTTGCGTCTTGATCACATGGTGGTGACGCGAGTCACTGAGAAGAGACACATAACTCACGGTAGTTGGTGTGGTGTTACTAGATTGGTGCTAGGCATTATTTTAACCCCTCTTCAGAAGACAAAGTGAGGGACTCCACTTTCAAATTTTACTGCAATGAAATAATCATAATCACCTTTATTTGGCCAAGTATGTTACAAGGAATTTGCTTCCAGTACAGAACCGAGGCAGCCATCTGTGGCGCCAACTCAACCGATGGCTCTAACCATCGGGGGCAACTTGGGGGTTCAGTGTCTTGCCCAAGGACACTTCGATACGTGGACTGCAGGCACCGAGATTCAAACTTCCGACCCTCTGGTTAGGAGTCGACGGCTCTACCCATTGAACCACAGTTGCCCCACTTTATCAGGAAATAACTGATAAAATGTCCAAGCTGATATAAGGATGTTCCAGCAGTCGTGTGTCTT